GACTTACCCGTCAGTCACAAGTAAAATCCAGGTCCGGATTAACGAAAATTCAGAAGCACTTTGATGAGCTCTATACCCATCGAAATTATTCCTTTTCCCAATGGGACTATATGGGACACCCAGTATATAGAATGGGTATATTATAGCCTATGTGATTGAAAAATGTGAGGGGTATTCCTATCAACAATAGTTATGTTTCATATACTATTTGATTTTCAAAACTTACCTAATTACTTTTTTGGGAATAATGGAGTGGTATTTGAAGTAATATTTTAAATGTTGCCTTTTTCGAAACTGTGATCTTTATGAAAGAGAAATGCTAGTAAAATGATGGATATGTGATACCGGACCATTATAGCATTGATGGATCGATGAAAAAGTTGAAAAATCTATTCAGAAATGTTTCATTTGTATCCGCTTTTTTCTTATATATTTCTTTACTATTTGAGAACAATATCCAAATATGCATGTCTTTTCGTTCTATTTTGAAAACAATGTATACAAATAAATTATAGTTGTTGAATGTGACATATGTAATGTGTTCATTGTGCATTTCGCTTCATGTACCTGCAAAAACCAATATAAACTACTCAACACTAATTTCGTCGCACACCAAAATGTCGCCCCTGTTATAATGTGAATAACTTTTTTCAGTTTAGAACAATTTGAATTTGGTTCACACTGTTCGATAGTCCAGTCCTTCAGCTATAATCTCGTACTTCATTGAAACATAAGGGTATTCACATGAAATCTCTACATGGTGTTTTCCGACACTGTGCAAAATTTCGGAATATTCAAAAGGTTCTCGAATGGTGAAAACATTTTTTTTCTCAACTTCGACAACAGAGGCATGAAGATGATCTCATTACCTCGAGATGTTTCGCGAATCAACTTCCTATCTCTCTTATTTACAGAGTGATCTCAAAAAATCAACTTTTTGGTTTTGCAGCCATAACTTTTTTCCACGTCAACCGATTTTAAAAATCTTAGGCTCATTTTGAAGATAAAACTTCAGATGAAGAGATCTGAATATCAGAATTGACTCAAGATGGCTATCAGAGATCTAGAGTTTTCTTGAAAGTGACCCAAATCTGGAACGCCCTCAGAATCTCGGTTGGGAGGAGAATTGAATGAAAATCAACTTGTTCTCGGAAAAACAATTCATTCTAGATGCGTCCATATTTTCCTCGCTCTCAGTAGTCAAGAATCGTGCGTGAGAAAACACAATTGAAACATGTTCTTGCAAAAATATCAGACCGTTTCTCCTCTGTAATGCATGGCCCGTAACCAACGTTACAAGAATCACAATGGACTGACAAACCCGACTAGCTAAGGCTCATCATAAATGGTGTACCAACAACCCTATGCGGTCTCGCATTGTCATCAACGAGAACAAAGTAGTTGTCACCCACATTCGCGTTAGATGCGGCATCGAAACTATCGAAATCTGTTTATGATTCGAAAACGACCTCTAACCTGACTTGTCAGTCACTTACTCTGATTCTTGTAACGTAGGTTACGGGCCATGCATTACAGAGGAGAAATGGTCTGATGTTTCTGCAAGAACATGTTTCAATTGTGTTTTCTCACGCACATTCTTGACTACTGAGAGCGAGGAAAATATGGACGCATCCAGAATGAATTGTTCTTCCGAGAACACGTTGATTTTCATTCAATTCTCCTCCCAACCGAGATTCGGAGGGCGTTCCAGATTTGGGTCACTTTCAAGAAAACTCTAGATCTTTGATAGCCATCTTGAGTCAATTATGATATTCAGATCTCTTCATCTGAAGTTTTATCTTCAAAATGAGCCTAAGATTTCCAGAATCGGTTGAAGTGAAAAAAAAAGTTATGGCTGCAAAACCAAAAAGTTGATTTTTTGAGATCACTCTGTAAATAAGAGAGATAGGAAGTTAATTCGCGAAATATTTCGAGGTAATGAGATCATCTTCATGCCTCTGTTGTCGAAGTTGAGGAAAAAAATGTTTTCACCATTTGAGAGCCTTTTGAATATTCCGAAATTTTGCACAGTGTCGGAAAACACCATGTAGAGATTTTATGTGAATACCCTTATGTCTCAATGAAGTACGAGATTATAGCTGAAGGACTGGGCTATCGAACAGTGTGAACCAAATTCAAATTGTTGTGAACTGAAAAAAGTTATTCACATTATAACAGGGGCGACATTTTGGTGTGCGACGAAATTAGTGTTGAGTAGTTTATTATTCATTTTCTATACTCAACACACACACACACAACATGAATTGTAGGTTATAAATACATTATTTTTTCTATAAACCTAAATCAAATATATATTCGCAGGTCCAATGTATATTATTTATAAGTCAGAGTAATGATATTTATTCATGTTTTATTTGACACTGCATTTTCTGTACAATATTCTATGAGTACAAGAATCAAGCCTGCAACTCAAAACGGCCAGTTATCGATGGATTGATTGCAATCTTGATTTTTTTTACCAGAATATAGTGCAAGAAAATATAAATAGTTTTATAATACCTATACCCATCTTCTCTCCGGAGAAAATGCTTTCTATGGTCAATAATGTACTAATGATAATAATATGTCGACATAAATGTTGTGATGTAATCGTAAAAACAGATTTTGTAAGTTTTTAATAAAAACAAATTGAAAATCCAATGTCTGTTATTATTTCTCCATAAGAAATATTTCAAATATTATCCGTTTTTTTTTTCAATCAATAATAATAATAATAATAATTAATAGCTTGGGTTCGGTATTAAGAAATTCTGTGGATCGTTCCTACGGTTCGGCTTGACTGGATGGCTTTCTCGTATTTTGTTTCAAGTATCAAACACTGATGTGCTTCTCGGATCTGCAACTGCACATCACATATCAAATATCGAATCATATAAATAAAAAATGATCAATATTAGATGCTGTACATACATGGATGTTGAATTAGAGAAACTCCCCTGAATATTTTTGTAACGTTCGTAGTTGGATTGCAACATATATAAGTTTTGTTTCCGAATAGAAGTTTCCTCAGTAGGCTTCATCCACATTTCCACATTACGTGGGTTATAATCAAGACCTGGAATGCCAAACACTGTGCTGCTCGGACCTAAAACTGAGTATTAATTTGAAATTGGAATCGTGAGACGAACATGGAATGAAGAGTCTGAATATTGTTTTCAACATTCGTAACTAGAATGCGATATATTTTTGTAATTTATTAATCAATCAACTACCTCAATGAAGACGAGACAGGCAGATAAGCAACAATTTTCTCTGCGATGAATAACACTGTATATACCTAACCCATCAAGCGCCTACCTCCTTTGCAGAGAGGGTTTATGAACACAAAGTTGGTACTCTCCCCTCGTGAGGGTACCTGTCGTGTTTCCATAGAGACATGAAGGTGAATATCTGTCTATCTGTCTGCTTGAGAATCTGGAAAAGAAGAAAATACATCGCCTTCCGTACGAACATGGTGATCTGAATTTAGGAAAGTATACTCTTGCCATTTTTCTTTGTGGGTCGTTTCTTAGGTTCGACTTGATTGTATGGTTTTCTCGGATTTTGTGTCAAGTATCGAACACAGTGCTTCTCGGATCTGCAACTCAACATCACAGATCAAATATCGAATCATATAAATCAAAAATGATTATTATTGGATGCGGTTCATGGATGTTACCTAATTGAAATAGAAACTTATCTGGATATTTTTTGCAACGTTCGTAGTTGGATTGTAACATATAAGTTTTGTTTCCGAATAGAAGTTCATCCACATCTCCACATTACGTGGGTTATAATCAAGACCTGGAATGCCAAACACTGTGCTGCTCGGATCTAAAACTGAGTATCAATTTGAAATTTGACTCGTGAGACGAACATGGAATGAAGAGTTTGCATATGGTTTTCAACATTCGTAATTGGAATGCGATATATTTTCGTAATTTAATGATTAATCAACTATCTCAATGAATACGAGGCAGGCAGATAAGCAACAATTTTCTCTGCGATGAAAAACACTGTATATACCTAACCCATCTAGCGTCTACCTCCTTTGCAGAGAGGGTTTATGAACGCAAAGTTGGTACTCTCCCCTCGTAAGGGTACCTGTCGTGTTTTCATAGAGACATAAAGGTGAATATCTGTCTATCTGTTTGCTTGAGAATCTGGAAAAGAAATCAATATATCGCCTTCCGTACGAACATGGTGATTTAAATTTAGAGGAGTATACTCTGGTCATTTTTCTTTGTGGATCGTTCCTTAGGTTCGGCTTGACTGCATGGTTTTCTCAGATTTTGTGTCAAGTATCAAACACTTTGCTTCTTGGATCTGCAACTTAACATCACATCATATCAAATATCGAATCATATGAATCAAAAATGATTTTCATTGGATGCGGTTCATGGATGTTGAAATAGAAACTTACCTGAATATTTTTTGCAACGTTCGTAGTTTGATTGCAACAAATAAGTTTTTTTTCTGAATAGAAGTTTCCTCAGTATCAGTATCAGTATCCCAGCACTGGGACCAAACGCCTCATAAGTCGAAATTGTGCGGGCTTAGGTAAGCATACAAACACAAACATCCATGGCCTAACTAGGATTCGAACCTATGTCTCAGTGGGAGTCCCCATACGAATTCAGCGCCTTCACGCTCTCGACCACCGAGCCGTTGAAGTTGACACTCTGCTGAATTCAACCAACACATCAAAGAGGGCCTGTAGGAGGACTTTTCACCAACTGGCTAAGTTGATTACTTCTGTCATTTATCATTAGATTTATATTGAGATCGCCAGCTGCTAGAAAAAAATCACTCAAAGGAAACAGGCTGGCACAGTGTTCTTCAATTCGTTAATACATTCAGTTATATCGCTTGTAATTATAAGTATTTTCCCTCCTTATCAATCTATATACTTTCTTGTTTCCTTGGTATCCTAAATTTCTGAATGTTCTATGCAATTCCTCTCCATTGGATATAATAGCTGTCAGTAATATATCTAGTTGTCAAGTTGAAGTAAAAATGTTAGAATATAGTACGATGATGACAAAAAGTTGAACAAACTATAGTTGAACCTTTGAGACTATGCATCAGGTAAATATAACTTTCCTACCGTGAACTTTTTCCCTATAACAATATTTCAGGAAAATGCTTATCCCACTGCGGTGTTCTGTATTATAGCAACAGAATTTTGCGAGAGATTCTCATTCTGCGGATTAAGAAGTAAGGTTTATCATCAGTCAATATATTGTACAAGTTACGTCAACACGTAATTATTGACATTTCAGCAATCTTATCGTTGTATCTGAGAAACATCCTGCTTTTCTCCGAGAATGCATCAACAGTTATCTACCACATTTTCATCATGATCTGCTACATCGTTCCTGTGGTAGGGGCTATCTGTGCAGACATGTATTTTGGAAGATACAGGTGAAACTAAAGAGTACTTGTAGAGTGATTATTTTCTTCTACACCTATTCCATCCAGTAATTTGATCGCATCAAGAACGGTTATCTCCCAAAGCCATTATAACTATGGAAGCTATAATCACTATAGCTTTCCTGACCATTTATTATTCTTTCAGTACAATAAGGAATTTCGCTATAATCTACTTGCTGGGGAATTTTCTGATGTGCATAGCGGCAGTACCAACAATAGACATCTCTCCAATGTAAGTCACCAAAAATTATATACCTCATAGACCTCATAAACATTCCTCTCTCAGGTCTTTCTCAGCCATCGGTCTCCTATTGATAGCCATAGGTTCGGGAGGCATAAAGCCGTGTGTGGCTGCTTTTGGGGCAGAACAGTTCAGCTTACCAGCCCAAAAAGACCTCTTGATGCACTTCTTCTCCATATTCTATTTCACCATCAATCTTGGAGGGTTCGTAGGAATGACCATGACGCCTATAATGAAGAAGGCAGTCTCTTGCTTCGGAGACGATAGTTGTTACGCCTTGGGCTTCGGATTTCCGGCAGTCTTGATGATGCTATCCATATGTAAGCGTAATACATAGATTGAATCATCAGTTCCCTTCATAGGCAATACAATTTTCATCACACATTTCAGTTTTATTTACTATTGGACGGAATTTCTACAAACTGAAAACGCCTAAGAAAAAAACCATATTAGAATTCTTCAAATGTGGATGGGTATGATATTACTACTCGCCGACAGAATTTGAATTGTGAAATTAGTATGCTTTAGTTGGGAAAGTGCAAAGGAAAAAAAGAACGGATCATTGGTTGGACCATGCCAATGGAAAATTCAATCCCCAGTTGATACAAGACATGAAAATCGTATCTGCAATATTGCTTTTGTACACTCCATTGCCAATATTTTGGTCACTGTTCGATCAGCAAGGTTCCAGATGGACGTTTCAGGTAATTTCCATGTTTCAACACCACAAGCTCCTACAAGGTGATTCAATAATATCTACAAGTTAAGAAATAGTAGCGTTTCCTGGGTACTTATCTAGGTCTTTATCGTTTAAGTTGGTAGTACAGTAATTTTCTCTTCATGTTTAGGCTTCTCACATGGATGGAAACATCATGGGCACCCAAATTACGCCTGACCAGATGCAAGTAGTTAATCCTGCAATGGTGTTGATCATAATCCCACTGTTCGACAAGATTTACCCTTGCTTCTCCAAATTCAACATTCTGGAAAACTCCTTGCACCGCATGGCTTTGGGAGGGATCATAGCAGGCACTGCATTCTTAGCTGCGGGAGTTTTAGAACTTACGCTAGAAAAGACCTACCCAGACCTTCCCAGCAAGCATCGAGCCGCTGTCAACTTGATCAATACGTTGCCATGCAGCCTGAAAATATCGTGTCCACTCTATGGTGTCCAGGTTATCAATGCCAGTGAAATTTTCAGGTTCAAGGACATGGTTTGTCAGAATTACTCCATGTACAAGATGGTGGTCGAAGCTCCAGCCAAATGTGGGGATTTGCATTTCAACAAGAACAAGTTGGAGCTCGATATTGTATCTATCGAATATCAGGTGAAATGATGATAATAATTCGAGATGAAAAATAATTGGTATTTTGGAAATTCGTTGGTACTGTTTCAGATTGAATCTGTTCTAATTGGAATAAACCAAGATCACGATGTAGCTGCTTTTATTACTGATCCAGTAGATTTCAAGAAATCCCTTAGCGGTACAGCTCGAATCAGGTATTCTGTAGCATCAACCATATAGGGTGATTCATTAACAAAATGAGTTGATTGGACCATGATTCGTGATTCATATCGAATGATTTTTTTTTCAGGATAGATTATATGAAATCGTCTCAATCTCATCATAACGTTACTGTAACTTTAAAACGTCCCAACGGTCTACAAGACGTTTATTTTGTGCATGATTCGAATAAGTCTACTTTGGCGGTATCGGCTTATATGGAACTAGCTCAGGGAGTGTACGTAGTCACTAAATGGTTTTGCAATGATCTCCCAAAGAAATAATAAAATTTTTACAGGTATGAATGTGTGATCAGAAGTAGTGAAGTGCAAATTTTGTTCGAGAAACATTTCCATTTCGAGCTTGGAGGAGTTTATTCCCTGGTCGTGAGAGAAAACAACGAAGGGATCTCAGTATGTAAAGTCAGATTTCTATGAAATACACACCTTTTTCCACTGTATATCAGTTGATATCATATTTTTTAGTTTGTGAAATTGTACACGATGTCGATGCCAAACACCATCAATATTTTATGGCAAGTTCCTCAATATTTCCTGATTTCCTTAGCTGAAATCATGTTTGGAGTTGCTGGGTTGGAGTTTTCCTTCACACAAGTAAGTTGAGAAATAAATTCAGAAGCATCATTTCACAAATAGCCTGTTCCTACTTCAAAATTCCTGTTTATTTGTAACCCGTTGAACGATTTTGAAAAATAATATAGAACTACAGAAGTTCTTTCTGAAAGAGTCGACAAATCTGATGATCATATTTTCAAGCCTACTATAGTGTTTCGAATATCGATTAGGTACACTATTTGAATGCTACAGTGTTAAAATTAATTTTTTCAGGCTCCTAGAAGTATGAAAACTGTAACAATTGCTGGTTGGTATCTATCAGTAGCGTTCGGAAACTTACTAGTCATCATAATCACTCAGCTGAATATGTTCAGAAGCCAGGTAAGTCATCAATGAAAAAAGTGTTCAGCCTGCCGACCGCTTGAAAAGGAATATTCTCAGATAAATTATGAACATACAAAAATGGATATATATTTATATAAAGCAATACATTGAGAATTCGCATTCGCTATGTGATGAGAATATTTACTCTTTCTCAGTTGATTCAATAGAAAACAACTACTTTCCTGGCTGTATGCCACGACGAACATTGAATTATATCTATTGAACACACACGATAAGAGTTTGAAAATAAAATATAAAAACTTCTGAAATTGAGAATTTGCATTCTCCTTCAGATAAAAATATGTATATGCACACATCATTCTGAATATTCAACAGAAAACAACTACTTTCCTGGCTATTTGCCTCGTCGAACATTGAATTATATCTGATGAACATTCAAAAGGAGAACATGAAAAATGAAGAATAAAAATCCTCCGAAATTGAGAATTGACATTCTTCTTCAAAAACTCTTATCGTGTGTGTTCAATAGATATAATTCAATGTTCGTCGTGGCATATAGCCAGGACAGTAGTTGTTTTCTATTGAATCAACTGAGAAAGAGTAAATATTCTCATCACATAGAGAATGCGAATTCTCAATGTATTGCTTTATATAAATATAATATTTCCATTTTTGTATGTTCATAATTTATCTGAGAATATTCCTTATCAACACTTTCATACCCAATCAGGGGGTTCAAACTTGAACGATGGAAACTTGTGATTTTTATAGACTTCTAATCGCAGATTCGTGATAGAGTCTCAATTCAGAATTTCTTTCCACGCCCTGTATGATGAATGTCAATTTATCATACACCCAAAAGCAAGACCGCTTGCCGCTTGGCACACAATACAGAACACACAGTAAACTCTTTCTGTAAAGTATTCCAGAGTGAGTATCTCAGTGACCTATCCATTGGCGTGCCACCTTGATATCGTGTCAACCGCATATAAATCATATTAGGTATACTATACTGAGGACGTAAAGAGTCCTCCCCCCTGCTAGTGAGGTCGGGTAAAATTCAGGCAAAAAGATACCTAAAAAGGTTGATTGTGCCCACTTAACACTAGGTCACGTGACCACAACCATGTTCATGCCAAATAGTAGTAAAAGAGGTACCTTTTTGCTGAATTTTACCCGTCCTCGCTAGCTTGTTCCGTTCAAAATGGTTCAAAGGTTAAAGGGGGAGGAGGACTTTTTACGTCCTCACTGTATGATATGATTTCTATGGTAAATCGACGTCTTTGAGGAACCCCTAAGCCCTAAAGCGATAAGCACGATTACCAACACTGAAAATAGAAAGCCACACGAAACTCGAGGATATCGTGCAAGCTATTTTCTTGAAATTTCTGGCCAGCGACACGTGCCTCAATGTGGAAATAGTCCCGCTGAGGAACGAGCAATATATTATGTAGGCTGCCCCAGAGGGCTAATAGGTTTGGAGACCGATTCTGGGCTTGTCTTATGTACTTAGTCAGAGATTGCAGAGCCCAAGGCGGCTGCATTTTGAAGAGGGTTTCTTCTTTTTATTTTTCCTTATACATACACAATGTAAATCACTGCTGGGTAGTGGGTTCACCTAGTGTATGGCTCATCATAAGGAGCCAAGCTTTGGAGGATGACACTCACTTATTCGGATTTCAATCATAGGACTACCACATGTTTGGCTTACACCAGCCACCTCCAAACTGTAGAAAGAATAGGAAACAAATGAAATTGAAGGTAAGCGTGTTCAAATCGCTGATATAACTATACTATATTATATCTCCTATAAAGTTCCAGGGCAAACTAAAGTTCAATATCTTTCAAAACATTTCTTTTTTGTAAAAATGTATTCCATCATGTCGATACGTTTTTTTCGTCTTTAATTACCCATTTCATAATTCATTCCAATTTCGGAAACACCCTGTATAGCTTAGCGGTCAACAGGCTGAACACTTTTAAAAAAAAATTAATTGTTTCCGCGTCAAAAAACGGTGTTCAATTTTTCGATAGGCACATGAATTTTTCCTGTTTGCAATTCTCATTGTCGCAGATATGATGATTTTTATGGAAATGGCGTCGAACTACAAATTTGTTCAAATTGTCGATAGTTCCACTGCAACTTCAGTTGGATTTTTGAGTGAAGAACTGTTCTCAATAATGGACACAGAAGAAGACACAGAAAGTTGATGAGATAGTTTTAGTAACTGGAATCAAGATTGTTAAGATGCAAATACACTGATGATATTTCATATAATTTTGTTTTCATTCAATCAAGTATACATTCACTTCATAGTAAGGCAGTGAGAGGAATTAACCGATTCCTATGAAATAATTCCTCAGTAAATACAGGGTGTATCTAAATAACACCAAAAAAATCCAAGAGGTGATTCCTTGTGATATTTTAGGAAATAAAGTTTACATAAACATTTGTCCTAACTCGCTTCGTTTTCGAGATACAGGAATATTTCCATGAAAAATCGTTTCTTTATTCATTACTCAATTGTCGTTTCGTCAATTTCAATAAAACGTTGTGGTTTTGTCAATAGTAATATTTTTGGTGCACTTAGGTTCATACTCATATCTCCAGTGGCGTCACAGTGGGCGAATTTATCGATATTCAAGGTAAATGTCATTGTACGCCACTGGTTTTTCTGCGTTTCATATTTTTATTAGATTATCCGATGAACCATTGTAAAACTCATGTGGTGCTTGCACTGCGAGTATTCTAATCCACATGTTGAAATATACAATGGTCTATATTATCTTTGAAGAGAAGCGAAATATTCTCGGAAATATTGACGCCACTGACTTAGATCAGTTTGAATCACGGCACGTTTGGATATTCGTAAAGTTTCATGAAATCAAAACACTCTTTTTATAAAAAATCTCTTCTTGGGGCTATAGGCTTCCCGATAATGTAAAAGCTAGTCCTAATTGTGAAGTTTTCAAAGGTATAGGTTGAAGAAAATATTGATACAAAATTGCTTTTAGAACTTGGAAGAATTTGGTAACTTTCTGTCCAGTGTTATTTTGAGTTTCCATTGTAATTCAATTGCTATTATTTGTCTTGTGTAATCAACTGTAACTAATCATTGGTTCCTGTCCAATTATGTGAAACTATTAGTGTTGTTCTTCAGCTATTTACTTATACTTGTATAATTCTTTAGGATACTATTTATGATCTAGTATTCTAGTATTTCTTATTACCTGTTCTGACTCGTCCATTGTATTATTTATAATTTAGTATTCTAGTATGTTTTATTACCTGCGCTGAGTCGTCTATTCTATATTGTATCGATAGTAAGAAGGATCTAATAAAATACAATACGATACAAAAAAGGGACATATCATCTCTCGTTATCATATAACGGAAGTATGTCCGGAATAATGGCAGCAAATTAATCGCTGTGCCATGATTTGGCTCCGATTGAAGTGTGGCACATGTAGGTTTTTGAGAACTAGGTACCATCCAATTGGTATCGGATGCCATGAATCTTATCTCGTTATCAGATCGCGAAATTGAGTGCTCACGATAGGGATCAGCACAGGTGCCGTTTGATATTCGTTATCAGATTACGGTCGAAATTTGCTGCCGGCTTCCTTTTCTAGGTATACGTTATACGGAAATAACTACTATGAAACGCATTTTGAATAACAAAATATGGACCTATTGGTATTGGTATTGGTAGGTTGGATGGTGACAGATGCGCTGCGACCCAATTAGATCTATTGTGCCCCATCTGCTCCTGCTATATCAAGGATTTCTTGTTCATAGCAGCCCCTCGAGATTCAATTCCTTCAGGAATTTGAGGATTTTGAGGGGGTCTAGCTGTGGTATTTCTTCCACAGTCAGCTGGTGTGTTCCCAGTATGTTCAATCTTTTGTGATGTACAGCTTCACACTCCATCAGTATGTGATGGGGTGTTTCTGGTTCTTCCTCACAGAATCTGCAGGTGCCGTCCTCCTGTAAGCCTAGCTTCCTTAGGTGTTCTTTGAGTCTGCAATGCCCCGTTAGAAATCCCGTTATTGCTTTGAGACTTCCTTTGCTGAGGTTTGTCAGTGTCTTAGATCTTTCTCGGTTGAAATTTCCTAGGAGATCTTTAGCCTGCCGTAGTCCTGGAAGTCTTCTCCATTGTCTGGCTCTCCAGGCTCCTTCCGCCTTCTCAAGTTCTCCTTGGAAATGGGAATTTCCAAGGCCGCAGAATGGCTCTGGTCCGATCAGTGGCGTTGAAGCCCCTTGTCGTGCCAGAGCGTCTGCTTGTTCATTCCCCTCCACTCCGATATGCCCTGGCACCCAGAGGAGGGTAACTTTATCGTTGCTGCCTAGCTCATTCAATTTGCTTAGGCATTCCCATACCATCTTCGAGTTGATGTAAGGAGAGCTCAACGCTTTGATGGCTGCTTGGCTATCGGATAAAATCGCGATGTCCTTCTTCCGGTATTTCCTGTCTAGGTTGAACTGGATGCATCTTCCTATGGCGTGTATTTCCGCTTGAAAAATGCTGGGGAATTGTCCCATGGATTCGAAGTATTTGGTGCGAGGCCCAAAGACTCCTGCTCCAGTTCCCTCGGGTGTTTTAGACCCGTCCGTATACCAAGTAATGGTATTCCTTCCCAGTGATTCGATGGATTCTGTGCTCCATTCGCGCTTGTTGCTCAGCTCCACTCGGAAGTTCTTCTCAAAACTGAACTTCCTAATGATTTGGTCTGTTGGAAGATCGGCGAGGTGTGCGATCTCAGTGGGGGGTGAGCCCCTTACACTGTGCGTTTTCCCTCTTAGTCCGACCTTGGCTAACCTGAGATGTGCTCCATAGGCAGTTCTCCTCACCACGATGTGTAGAGGTGTGAGATCCAAAATGACCTCTAGTGCTGCTGTTGGAGCTGATCTCATTGCTCCTGTTATGCAAAGACATGCCAGTCTTTGCACCTTCTCTAATATTTTCCTTGTAGTGGCGAGTTCGGTTCTGCCGTGCCACACTACTGCTCCGTAGGTGATCATTGGTCTCACTAGCATGGTGTACATCCATCGCAGTATTGATGGGTTACATCCCCATGTTTTGCCTGCAAGGTTCCTGCACACCATCAGTGATGATTTGGATATGGACCTAACTATTTCACTCATCACAATAATCTAACCAATCACAAGCCAGAGACTAGCTGTCTTCCAGTTCTGATTGGTCTATCACCGTTTGTGTTTTCAACGATGTAACCATGGATAGCGAAGCAAAGTCTGCCAGTTCGGCATTGGCCTAGCTGTACACACAAAAAAATTGATTTCTCTAACCAATAAAATCTGCTTTACTTTAAGCTTATGGTTTGTTTATATATACTCAAATGAATATTTTATTATTATGAGAAATTGTATTTGCAGGAAAATACTTTCAGAATGAAACAATATATTTTTGAGTTGAGAATATTAGGGTATCTCTATATAAATAATTCGAATACTTCATTCAATGAGATGAAAATGTTCAACTTGAATATATCATATGCGTACTTGAAAAAACAATTTATTTCAGCCAAGTATATGAAATTGTTATCTCTATACTTGATTTTTTGCTTCAATAATACGGTTATTCCTGATGACTGAAAAATGAAGCTACTCGGTGTAACAAATATAATGGTTTGAACAATAGAGAATGACCAATATAGTTGGTTCAGTTAACTCAAATGAAACTATTTATACAGTACTTTCGTAAAGTACTGAATACATTCATTTTTAGTCAATCGATCAGTTTATGAGAATTCTCCAAATACAGGTCGATTTTTATTTTAAATATGTCATATTTATAAGTTAAAATCAGATATACACAGTGATTCACGTTTGAGTTATGACGTCCGCGACCATTTTTTCTATATTAAATTAAATGTTAGTAATCTATGAAAATCTGAATACAGAAATATATGACACATAGGATTTGCATACATTGTGCCCGTTTAATACTGTCGTACAGTATAGTGAATAAATTCATTTATATCCAAACTATTTATTTCTGAAGAATCTCCTAAAACAGATCGATTTTTATTTTCAATTTCAATTGAGGTATGAAGTCCGCGACAATTCTCTCAAATGAAACACCCTATACATTATTAGATTTCTGGAATCTCCATAGGAAGCTGAATTCGAAAATATATTATATACACATAGAGTCTGTATACTGTGCATCCGTTAAATCAAGTGCTTTTGTGAAGTTGAAATATTCGTTGAAAATTCTAAAAATTGTTCTAAAATTTGGAAAACATTTTCGCGTGCATCATAATTCACCCTGTATATGTAGGATTTTCCCTGATAAATGTGTCAAATTGGAAATGAAAACCCCTCCCGTAGATGATTTCTCAAAAATTTGATAGAATGGATGAAAATGAATATATCCACAGCTTGAGAGCATTGAATTTAATTAACGCACTGTATGCAAAGCAAATGGTGCAATACATTTTTAAATTCCATGGTGATTCCAAAAATTGAGTAATATAGGGTGTTCCATTTAAAAAAATTATGTTGATCGTCATTAAGTCGAACGTAAATCACTCTGTAAGTAGGTATCCAAGAGCTTTACCTATCAAATGTGAGAACACTATTGGAATATGTATATAAATGATTGTATAATACTCTGTATACAAAGCGTGCCACGCTATTATTATGTTCATAAAATGAATATTTTGTCTAGAAAGGCGGATCTCAGTATGTCGGTATAACAATGTATGATTCCACCATTCCAACCAAGACCACCCAACGATGCTCGGTATTTCCATCAGCAATACTCTTTCATGGGAAAATCATGTCGGTCCACCTCGAAAGCTGCTTTACAAGAACTTCGTGCGAAAATCTACTTTGAACCTCAACAACTTCTCATAATACACAAAACACAGATACGGCAAGTTTTAGAATAATGTTCTCACATATGCGGGGTTCAGCACCAAAACCTTCGCTGATACTGTTTAGATTCCATCCAGAAAAGAGCCATCCGTCTGGTCGTGCTTGAAGGCACACTCATCACTAATACTTTGACTTAATTAGAACACCGTAGAAAAGTCGGCGACCTTTCACTTTTCCATAGATACTTCCACGAATCCACGGGAAATGTTCCTCAGAAATCTCTGCAATCATTCAATCACTATCAGACGAACTCGACGGTCCAGTCAGGACATCCTTATTTGAAATAGTCGAAAAACAACAAAGCTTCGAAATTCGTTGCCAATGGAAGTATAACCCCCAAAAATTAAGGAAAAAATCGAACATCTTATAATACCATTTCTCCCTATCCTCCCTGGGTACGCACGATGTTGTTCGAACATCATGGGAATTTCCTTTCGTGTGCTCCAAGGGATTCAGCATTTTGGTGAAAAAATGTATATAACGGATCCTCATTCCTCAATAAATTTTGAGGATAATAATATTAAGGAAATCATCATGAGTTCTTTCTATGAGAATGTGAGCAATCTGAAACAACTGGACCTGTTAAGAAATTCGTTCAATTCGGCATCAGATTTTTCAGCGCTTTCCTACCTTTTCCTCGCTTAATAAATTACGAGAAATCAAAGGATATTGCGTCAATATTTTCAATAGTTATATTGCAGACTTACTTATCTAAAAAAAAATGTGTATCACTTCTCAATCGCGATCTAGTGATAAGACACAATGAGAAAATGTAGTACAAGTGAAGTATCAGCTCATTCAATGTTCTCCAGTCAAGTTTACCGGTTCGAGTGTATGACAAACTCAATTTTTTATCATGAAGTCAACAGGTAAGTATATGTTTACATCTTTTATTTACAACCATATATCTAATGTTGTTGTTGTCATCACTAACATCATTGAAGGTTGGAAAGTGTCACACCCAGACAGCACCAGATATTCCATGAATCTCCCTATCATATTCCTTTTGGAATATTGGAATATTCTAGAAATATCTGTGCAATATTCTCTAAATATGCGAATGGAAATTCCTCAGATAATCATAGAATATACCCAAGAGAATATTCTATGTTGAATGTTCCTGGAATATTCCAATAAACATATTCTAAAATAAAAAAAGTGACCCAAGTAGGGATCGAACTCGTGATGACCTCAAGACTATCAGAGCAACGCGCGCCTTGACCACTAGGCCAGTAATCGAATTGAATAATTTTATACATATCAAGTTCTTGTGAGAGCATTGTTCGAAATCGGATCATAAACACTTTTTGTTTCAAAATTTCCTTACATCTAATTGATGTTCGATACTCACATCTCTGAAATAATAAATGGTATTATGTGTTGAGAAACATAGGAGTATTCATGGAATATTTCATGAATATACACCACAGAATATTCAGTTGAGAATATTTCATGAATATACAACAGAGAATATTCAGTTGGGAATATTCCTGGAAGATTCATACCTGAATATTCCCTGAACATGTCCGACTATTCACTTTGGAATATTCCTTTTAGATGTTCCAGAGGCATGTATATATTCTAGGAATAATCGATGAATATTCGGAATATACTCCTCCTTTTTAGCATATTTAGAGAATATTCTATGAATATCCAGTGCTGTTTGGGCATTACACACCTCTACTTTCCGCCCTCACTTCCCGCCCTCACTCATGTAATAATTCAGGTATGTTCAGAACGAAATAGATTTATGAATTTTGATCGAAATATTTAAATAAAATAGTATACAAACCTCGGTAGGGAGTTTCATTCCTGAGAGAGGGTTGCTGGGCTGTGTGCACGTGAATATACAGGGTGATTCACATAAGAACCGACATAGAGCAGGGGCATGTAGGGGGTCCCAAAATATGGGCAATTCAACGCAACTCACCTCTATACCAAGTTGCTTCCCTACGGAGATATAGGCTTTGAAAGTGAAGTTAGAACTTTTGAAAAAAATCAATATCTCCGTTATTCTTGAACTTAGAGCGACCAAATTTTGTACACTTTGTGGATGTATTTAGGGCGTTACTTGACAGTAATTAGAGTTCAATTGAAATTTGTAAAGGGGGTATACCGGGTGGCGCACCATTAATATTCAACATAATTTTGTTAACACTTGATGGATTTCAAAAATCTTTGCTTTGTTTTGTGGGCAATTCAACTCTAAAACTTTTCTTACTCTAGTAATTTTCCGAAAAACCTCATAATTTTCATCAAACACTCGAATAACTGAAAACGCGCGCTCTAGGTGTGTTATTTAAAATCATCGAAAATTCAAAAGTTGGCTATGAAAATAAACGTCAAACTTAACAATGAGGCAAGTGAGTTGTTCAATTGAGTAATTGTTGTTTGAGTGTTTTTAAAATGAACGGGAAGTTTTCTTTTAACGAGTAAGTTGACATGCTGTTAGTGCTATGCCTATAACTCCTTAGGGAAGCAACTTGGTATAGAGGTAAGCTGCGTTAAATTGCCATATTTTGGGACCCCCTACATGCCCCTCCCCTATGTCGGTTGTTATGTGAATCACTCTGTATACCAAAGAAGGGAAGATTTGTATTTCGTTCATTCCTGTCTCGAGATTATAGCTAACGTCGACGCTTTGCGTCTCGGTAAACTAACTAATCTCACGACAGGAATGAATCACTTTCCACCTCTGTGTGTAATATACTATTTTTGACTTCCAAGACTAAAGTAGGTTCTCTAGTCCCACCATCCAGGGACTAAAGTGACCATTTTGATTCATTTGAACTGCTAAGTTACTTAATTATTTCAGAAAAAACTGAGAAAATAATCAACTGGTATAATTGATCAATTGTAGTATTGACCATCGAATTGCATAGAGAGATTACCTTATTTCAGTTATATTTTCCAGAAAGTGGAAAAAATAGGGTGTTTAAAGTTGGAGTAGAAGGGCCCCAAATGGGTTATTTAATACAGTTCTCAACACACTAAATGGACCACTCATAATTTGACATTTCGAAGACCTGTATTTCTTGAAAAAATTGACCGATCTTCATGCGGTTTTCGATATCAGATGTGATATTTCATCGGCTTCAAAGAGAGCTAGAACACTCTGAAAAAGTCCGCAGAACAAAACTTATACAGGGTGTAAAGTGGAACCATTACACTATGGTCTACATTTCCAATGCTGCCAGAACTCGAGAAATTTTTTTCTGATCAAAAATCAGTCATATTATGATACACTGGGACCTCATCTCGGGACATGTTCGTGATTTCTCCTTAATTGGCCATTGGAACAAAAATTCGATTTTTTTTCGAAAGTCTTGCATTTCTTGAAATTTTCCTCTAGAACTCCACTTGAGCTGACTATTGGAAAGAACTGTTCTCATGTTTTGTTGAGGACAATGAAATACGGAAAAAGCACTATTGTGGAATATACAGGATGATAAGAAAATAGGACAAAATCTCATTTCAGTAAAAAAAATTAAATATGGTCACTAAAACCATGGCCCATTCGATTCAGTATATTCAGAAACAGCCTTCTCGATATCCAGTATTCGTATTAGACTTTTAACTCGAAACGTTTTCAAAAATTCGCCTCTAATTGAAATACGGGATGAACATTTTCAATTCAAACTTTTTTCCAGATATCGATGATTCTTATCAACTGATTTCCAATATTTATTACCCAAGTATGAGACAGAAAGTATTGTTGTTCAATATACTGAGTGTTTCACAACTTATCTGATTTTCTTCAGTTTTTCGTAACCCTTTTGAGCCCTTTCGGCCGCTGCGGATTACATGCCATCAAATATTGGGGCATCAGTTTGTTTGAACTTCCGTATATATATATTTTGAATTTTTCACATACATTTTGCGGTTATGTCAAAAATGTTTTTCCACGAGAGTTATAGATCATTTTATTACCTACAACTTTGTTATTCAATTTTTCTTCCATAGGACTTGTAGTTCTGGCAGAAATCGAGATCAATCACTTTTTCTTCCTTTTTTGTTATTCTCTCTCTTTTTGGATGGGTTATTCCATTCCACTATAGTTTTTTTCGGTTTCAAATATTTCGACCGTGGTCTATCAATATTGACATCAAGTCTGACAATAACACTAAACAGATTTAAAAGGATTTATGATTTACCTCGAGATTAACACAAGATTAATTCCATATTGATAATTCTGTCAAGACACATTGTATTGTAATATACATATCATACGGATCATAGTCCGAGATGTATACATATAGGTAACAGGTGGAAGGTTATTCGAGCATCATTTTTTCCATTGATACTGATATACAGTGTGGAAACCTGAAATTCGTAACTCCATAACCATAGCAGATATATTTCAAAAAATCTTCGGACAGGTGTATTTTCATCTTTGAAAATCTATATATTTCGTAAAACTTTTCAACTACCTGTCAATCACCTGCCCCACAGATTAACCCTTAATACGAAAATATTTGGGGAATAAAGAAGCCTTTACCGACAAAAACGTATCACCCTGTGGATTTTACAAATTTTCGAGATGCTCCATATTATGATCTTCTACAAAGTATTGACCACATCAAATTTCAAATTGATATCCTCAGAAGTGAGCGACATATTTCAATTCATAGAAAAAAAATTAACGTTTTGACCCCCTGTGTCTTTGTTACTGATCGAGATGGGACACAAATTTATAGACATTTTTTTTATCAAAATGATGATATCTTTCACTAATTCGTCCAGTATGTACCTTGAAACCTAAATCACCCTGTATAATGTTAGCCATCATTGAATTGAAATAGATCGTTGTATAGAGATTTGAAATACCTACCTCTCTATCAAGATATAATTTGACACCTTGTGCAATTTAAAAATTCAAATTAAATTTGAGAAACATAGGTTTTCAAATTTTAAAATCAACTTGCATGTCCAAGAACTTTTTGAAATATATTTATATTACGGAGATACGGATTTCATATACCATCATAGGTTTCAACACTGTATAATTGCTGGATATTAATATGCATCATATAGGATATCTGTCTGGAAAAATGAAAATTCAGGTTGAAAATAGTATCGCCCAATTCAATGATCCAAGTTTGATTCAAAATAATATTCAATCTTCAGGTAGGTACCACGTGACACGTTATTAAGTATCACCCCCTATACTTCTTCTGTTTTCAATAGTAGAAAGAAAACTTGAAAAATAGCCTTACAGGGGATTTATTTTTCCATCTCGAATCAACACTTTCTGCTGCTCCCTGTATATATCTTCCAGGACAGTGAAAAAGAACCTTATGTTTCGAGAAGGAGAAAAATCCCCTGTTAGTTTGTTTTTTATTTTTCTTCCACTGTGAAAAATAAAAGAGTTACAGGGGTACAATTTTCTGAATGTTTTTAATGTACCTATTTAATTTTCAGATCCAGAAGAGATTTTCGATAAAGAAAGTCCAGATGACAACAGAGAAACAAAGGTAAAAAGTTCTAGAAATCATATTTAGGTATTGTGACGCTCTAGATTTCATTAAGCTGGAGATTATCTGGATTAAATCGAAGATGTAGATAGATAGATATATCGGATTTCCTTCAATCAGATTAGCCATGAATTATTATGTCACATTTTTTGAACTCAGTGTATACCGGGTGTCCCTTTCAGGGGTGGCGCGCTCCTAACATTTTTCAGTTTTTGGAGATATTAAAATAAACAATCGGGTGATATTTATCAGGTGTGAAGCATGAGATTGCAATTTGTGACAGATGATACTACTTCAAATTTTAGTACAGAAATTCTTCTGAATAGGGCATCAAAAGAATTGCAAGAATCATTTTTGAACATACAGGGTTTTTCAGACTTGAATGTACATGCGATACCTGTTGATTGAGGACACCCTGATGGTTCCAAATCAGCCCTCATTGATCAAAGTGCCTGTAACGTCTTTCAGGACATTATCTTGATATCTTCAAAATCTTCTAGTGATCATAATTTTTAACCACTTTGTATAATTTATTTATACTTGGTAGATAAATTTCACTCAGATTACTTATGACAACAAAGTGGTAAACAGGGTCGGAATCCAGGTCCGTCTCCAGGAAAAACTGAAAACTTATTTTATTTCGAAAACAACACCCGGTATGGCAAAGTTTTGTAGATCTGTTTCGACATCTGAAGAGAGCGGGAAAAAATGAATGAAGTGACCTACTTTTTACGCGCGCATCCACTTTGACAGATGTGTCATTCTTATTTTTTGAAATATTCAGCTCCGATTTTGAGTCATTTCCATCGACCTCTTAATTCAAAATCGAATTTTAATACAAAAAGATAACAAGTGTTCGAATTACATTTTCATCAGAATCAAATTAGTTGAACTCTCGGTAAATTTGTTCGTTTGACAGAATAACATGTCAATGATTTTAGAAAATCTTCGAAGGCTCATCAACTTTTGATTTTATTATTCATTCTTTATTTTATAGATTTATGAGGAACTCTAGATTTCTGCAGTGTTTTATTTCTGGTGTACCTTAACCGAATCACGCGGTGTAAATTCACTGTCATTTGTTTAGAAACGAATGACTCGATTCTTTCTATTTAGTCAAACGGTATATTACCTACTTACACAAGTGACTGATTTCAAATGAAATTGTAAGGTAGTAAATGAATAAAAAAGATTAATATCCAAGTTTGCTGTGATACTATTCCAATATATATCAACAATATAAATTCAATAAAACTTGAGTAATTTAAAGCCCAATAGAATAGAGATTTTGTCGATTCCTTTGTCATCCTTCGACCGTACTAAAAATGTATAGATTCATGAAATAATCCCAAGATGAAAAATGTAAATGTCAAAGCCATCAGGGAAGAGCCTGGATCAAGTAACTACTACCCATTAGCTCAGTAAAATGGTAATGATTAAGATCCTCGAATGCAAGCTTCAGATTCAGATTCAACATCCCCAAACCGCAGAGAATTCGACTACTTGAATTTTTTCCACGTGCAAATACCATTTTATTGGACTATACAGGGTGGGGCATTAATGCGTCGGAGCTCGATTGCTCGAGTTCTGTGATAGCTAGAAACTTGATTCAAAAACGAATGTCGATGAGATAACAAGATTCGTAACTAGAATAATTATTGCCGCATCGGAAAAAATTTAGAGGGGCAGGATCTTTTTTTCAAATGAAATGCCCTATATATTCGCGTGATTCACGAAGTGGGCGACATCTAGGTTACATAATACGAACTCCAAACTGGGGGAAAACAAACTGTTGTCTATGGATAAAGTGCATAGACTACATTGCATTCAGCTTGCTGTAGCTGTAGTTGTCAAACTTGTCAATGACATAAAGTGTTGGCACTGTTGGTAGTGATGATGGTTGAGTTGGTAAATTTTTTTACATTATTACATTTTTATTAGTTCAGTGAACAGTGAACGGGTGAAGAATTGGAGATAGTTCAAACAATTCAAACTAATTATGACGAGCAAATCAATTGACATATAAAAGAACAGCTACAACATGTTCACAATGCCCAGACTTTCCTGCTTTGCATGAACAAATACAAATACATTGTTCTACAGGAGTTCCTCTGAACTTCAATTTTACTTCATGTGGGGAAGATTTCATCGCCGAAGTTTGTAGACAAAGTGCAAAAATGTGCCTTTTGTTGAAGTCTTCTGCCTCACACAAAATCACATGATTAGCACGGAGAACTGCTTCTCTTTCCACTACTGGTCGGCTTTTTCCATCTAAATAGAGCGAATAATCTGCCAAAACATCATCTACAACAGGCATTATTAGCGTTTTCGATCGAATATTGACAATAATTAATGTCAAGAAATTCGAAAACTTATCACTCTTATCAGTACACAGTACACAAGCTAATGGCACTAATGGGATAGAGTGAGGATTGAGTTTGTTTTCCCCCAGTTTTGACGTGGCTTTGACATGGAACGATGAAAACCGAGCGCCACCTGGTATCATTGATTCCCGGGAATTAGCTCATTTATTGAAGCATTTCTGTGACCTCCATCCACTTGTTGACTATTTCTCGATCTTTCCAAAGTTATTAATTTTTTTGTCGATCTGCAGATCCATACCGAAAACATCAATGTAATTACAATTATGAAGTTTGAGAGATAATAATCATAATATCATTCAATGGAAAGATGCGTGATATTTCTGTAGCATTTTCATGCCCTCAAATTATACGGGGGGCTAAAAATGTTTTTTCAATTCAGAACTTTTGTAAGTGATTTTTCTCGAGTGTTTCAAATGAAACACCCCTTATATTTTTAGGCCATCTGGTGTGAAATCGAAACACGAACATCTTTTATCACAACACCCATATACAGCGTGTCTCACTTCAAACGCCCCCCCACCTCTATATCTCAGTTATTAGTCATGTGATTCCAACCAAAGTTGGTGTGGTATGAATAACCATCAATATGGTTCAGTTTTTCTGAGGTGCACATTATTTTGGACAGTGCCGTACGTTTTTATTGAACTAAAAAGGGGTCGATTTTTCATAAAATCATATTAGGCACTTTTTTACAGGAAATCTAACATATTATTGTTCCTTATTATGCTTTCGAACTACCATATGCGAAAAATCACCTAATTCCGAATTAACAGGATTGGCTTCATTTTTTTCATTTTCAGTCTCGAATAAATAGTGATTTCAAATTAACTACGAATTTTGGGACGTTCAATGGCTCCGGTAGGTGAAAAATCATGGTTTGGAAGGAAAAACGAGTTATACGTTTTTATGTTGAACTCACCGTTTCCGAGCAAATAATTATTACGTTGGCAAAAATGCTGTTCAGATGTGCCTGTTTTTTTGACACCATTCATAGGCATCTTATGAAAATCCACATATGTGGGTTTGAAACCATGGAGAACAATATTTTGAGGTCAGTTTTCCTGTGAGAAAATGCCTAATATGATTTGATAAGAAACTGACCCCTATTCGTTTCAATAAAAATGCTCGGCACTGTCTAAAATTATGTTTGTCTTTGAAGAACTGGTCATATTGATGATTATTCATACCGATACGAATTTGGTAAAGATCGCACGACTGATAGCTGAGATATATAGGGGGGAGCGTTTGAAATGAGACACGCTGTAGATATTCGTAACCATTTTTGAATTATTGAACTTCGAAAATTATAGGTAGGCCATTTACATCGATACACATTCTCATCTGTTATTAAAACATCTAATTATTCAAATATTCTCTAAGAATATCCCATAGACATTCTATGAATGACATTGTGCTATCTGAGGTATACCATTCATTGTTACCTATGAATACGTAGATCAACAGAGTTGGGGTTTCCCCATTATTAAACAATTTACAAATGTCATTTCCCCTTCAGCAATGCTATGTCTCAACTCGATCCTCAATCATCATTCCAGTCATTCGATGGCGAACGTGAGACGTGATAAGTATTGGATGGTGTTGGAAAGTTATCATGTCCACACAGACGTGACACCAAACTCGAGAGTGGCCGAAAGAAAAATAGAAATCATGCGGCGCAAGTTTTTTGTTTTTAACTGTGTCGGTTGAGTGGACATAATATGCGACTGAAAATCGTCTGTGATATTTTGTAGGAAAAATCAGTGGTCAATAAATCGGAAATGGGGTTCGAAAATGAAAAGGTAGGGTTTGTTTGTTCCTCTGACGATTTTATCATTCTATACAAAGAAATGGTTGTAAGTCTCATTTTTAGTGAGATTAGTGAATAATATATCGTTTCCGTTACTCAAGAGGATATTTCGGCAGGAATATTCACCTGATAAGAAATCTCATGCTCAAAAAAACGTTTAATTTTTGAAGTACTGATTTATAGTTAATATATAGTTGAATAAATGGTCACCCTGTATATCAAAAGTCGCAAAAAATCCACTAAACTATAATTCACCAGATTATCTTGATTTTCTCTTGAGAAATTCTTTGATTATTAAGTAAAAATACATACAGGGTACCCGTTTCTCGAGCTTCACCATGATGCCGAAGTTACAACACTCAACTTTTTTTTTCTCATAGGCGCCATATCAGATTTTCGCATTTTTGAAAAGTCTTTCCATTTTCTGATCGCAATGATGTATCACACGATATGATCGAATCTATCCTGCTGATCAAAATTGGCAAAAAAACATTTTTGCGAAGAAAAAAACTAAAAATGACACATCAAATTCTCTTGCCGATTTAACCGACCTCGTATCTCTTATAACAGCTGAGATCATCCCCGTATTTGCAAGCAGATGATTAATTGATGTATTGATATGGGAATTTTAATTATTAGGAATATACAAGGTTTGATAAAAGAAAAAGCTTAAAATACTTCCATTCAGCAGGTATAAGATATGTATGACAATTATTGTAAAATTTTGATCCGAACCTTGAAAGTAGTTGAGAAATGTTGCTACCCTTTTATATCTACCTACTGATTTATTTGGCGTTTTCCAAATATAT